TGAAACGCCCCAGCGTCCGCAGCGAACAGAAGTGTATCAGTAGTTAATAAGACTGACCCCGCCCAAGATAGAGAGTGAACTCACGAGGTACAACTCCGCTCGTGCTAATGATTCACCAAGACAATTTCGCTTTCCTATTCCAAAGGGAATCACTTGTTCTTCCAACTTTCTGCCCTTTCATGTAGCGTCCGGATCGAACTAAAACGAGTCAACTGTTGAAAATTGCAACTAATTTTGTGGAGTAGTTATTGTGCCAGTGTAAACAAGACGAGTCCAAGAGAGCAAGGGGAATCTAGAGGAGTCAATGGCACGGAAGGAGGAGAAAAAATAGATAGCAAGGCTATTAGAGTACCACATGGAGCTAATGTAAGCACGATTCTCTAACAAACGGCAGAAAAGGAAACAAAAAATTTGCAATTTTGCAAAATACAACCCTTCCTCGCTCACTTAAATTTTCCTGCTTCTGTACAATACTCACTCTCACAGCAGAGATGGGTAAGAGAATCGTGAATTGCCGCTCCGTCGCGCGCGGCACTGGGCGCGACGTTTCCTTAATTTGCACTACCTTTCGATTGGAGCATCGGATTTCATGTAGACAGCTACTTTTGGTTGCACACTGACTATTCTCGACCAATGCCACCTAAAATCGTCGTCATTAGCTGGCGCGACGCCCACTGGCGCGGCGAATTACGATTCTCTAGTCACATATCCTCTCACAGCCCTCCGGCTTAGCCCTATCTCCTGGTTCCCCAACTCCGGTGCTAACGTATTTGGGGAGGGGGGGGGACCACGCGGCGAGCGATAGTCTCATTCACGCTACTCTGCCCTCCCTCGCAAAAAAGAAGTAATTTTCATGTTAGGACATGGATATAACACCGTCCTAGCTATATTCAAAAGCTAAAACAGTTAAGGCTGAAAAGTGCGAAGAAACAGTTGTAGGCTGGAAGATTTTGCCTAAAATACAAACAATTGTTGCCTTTTTGTTGATTCTTGACTATAAAAGATCAAATATTTGTTGTTTTCAGCTTCTGTGGGATTTCCCAGCAAGTTCCCGGTGAATTGTTTGTTTCATTCTAATTTGGCTGCTAGTTTCGCGCTTCAAGTATGCCTATGAGTGAAGAGCTGATGAGTCATCACTCGCCGCTCTCCGCGTGGTCCCCCCACCCCCCCCCCAAATACGTTAGCACCATCTTCTACACTTTTACGAAGTTTTTTTTTTACTTTCGATGTTTCCAGAAATTCAGAAATTCTCTTCTCGTAAAAGTTCGCCTATACAGGCTATTTGGTGCTCTGATCACGAAGTACGACAATATACCCTATGTTATGGACCATTTGGTGCCATCAAGAGCGCAACTTGGGCCATGTCCCTCTCCCACCAAAAAGCTGAGCGAACTTTGCATCACCAAGTTATTTTGTCTCGTCTTGGTTTAAACTGGAGCATATTGCGTGAAAAATAAGGGCACAACAGAAATTAGGATCGATGTAAAGTAATGAGTTAGTCTAAATATGCCGCTGTTATCGGACGGGGGGGGCATTGCTGCTTTTCATAGATTTGCCAACCCATCTAGATACCCCTTGTTCGAGTTCACACGTTTTAGGATGGTGGCTAGACGATCTTGCTCCAGCTTCACAAGCGTTCACAATTTACCAGAGTGAGATTTGTAAACCGGAACCAGGGAAGCAATTATAATACAAAATGCCCCCCCCCGTCGATAAACAGCGCTATCTAAATAACTTCTGTAGGCCAATTTATAACGAAAAAAGAAGTTTCTTGGAGACAGTCTGGAGCTGTATAAGTGGATTGGTGCCAAACATTGTTCTCGAAGGCAAACGCGACTCCTCCTTCGCGCAAAAATACAACCCTCTTTGTTGGGCATCTCCAACGTTGCCGTGCCCTGTCGGTTGACTAAGGGTACCTATCGAAGGAAAAGGAAGGCTAATGGTTAAAAAGGAAGGAGAAAAAGCCTTAGAGGAGAAGAAGCATTTACCTTGTAGAAATCTGAGAAATATTTAGGGTCAGACATAATAAGTGACAGCTGAACATTGATGGACGTTCCATTGGGTATTGTGTACTTTCCAACAGATATGTCGCCATTCACTCTCCGTGAAAGATTCATAGGGAAAATCGCTGCACATCGATGGATTTCCTGGAAAGCGCTGGGCTTCTAGAAATTACTGAGAATTCGGATAAGCCCACAACTTACGGTCAATACCGCATTGAAATAAGGAGTCTCTGTCCGATCCGCAAGGGAAAGAGGCCGGTTGGACTTGGTAACATTTCGAAGCTCCTGCTCCACTTTGGATTTCACCTGGACAAATCGATCTACTAAGCTGTCTAGAAAAGCCTCACAACAAAGGCATCATATTATTGAACATACCTCAGGGTACATCAGAAGATAAGCGAAGGCCCATTTCAGTGTTGTAGCTGTGGTTTCTTGACCAGCTGCCCATAAATCAAGCAGTGTATGCGTCAAGGATTCATCGCTAAATTTCACACTTAGAGGCACAGTCCACATTGGCCGGATGGGCGGATACGGGTGTGCCTCTCTGCCTTCCTTATCGGTGCCTCCCATTTGTGGTATAATAAAGTGGAGGAACGCACCAATGAGAAAGGCGGAATGGCTCGCCTGACTCCGCCCAACCAGCGCGGAATGTAATTGAATGAGCTCTGGATGAGTTTTGGTGCTGTTCGGCTTGGGAAGGCACTTGACATTTCGGCTAGTTTCTGCGGCTAGCCCTCTGTAAGATTGACGTCTCATCTAATGAGACTTACTGACTCTTGTTGAGTAACAAAATTTGCAGCTTCTCACCAGAGGCATAGGCAGTGATCGATGGAAACGAGTAAAATGCCCTCACCAAGTCGAACTGCCTCCACCAGAAACAGATGTATTGATTAAAGTTGGCGATCGTTGGCCTCTGTCCACCAAGACACGCAGTAGCTGGTTGAACTCGATCAAAAATGTTCCGCGAATTATGAGCAACTCACTCGAAACTGGAGGCCACACCGAGTTTCTTATTCTTCTCCATCTGTATGAGGAAGGCGTCAACGAAGTCATTTCCTTCTCCTTCCAGAGAGTGAAGCCCTTGAGCAATATCGCTTTTCCTACAGAAAAAAATATATATTATATCAGAAAGATTTCCAGTATGTGGGATATTTTTGAATCCTCACCAGTCGTATGGGTAGAGCTGAATCCAGCACTGCGCCTTGTTCATTAGGTCGCCGATCCCCTCAAAGGGAGGGTGAGGGGTATACCAGTGAACAGGGCTCAATGGTGGGCCCGACTCCGCCCAGATGACAAGCACGGAATGTGCCTGTGAACAAACAGACCTTTTCTCTACTTGATTCGCTAGAAAATCCATGAGATCATTTTGTGGCTTCAGCAGCGTCTCCGCTCTACGGCGCAGAGGTGGAAAAGAAACCGTCCACCGATTGATGAAGATATCGAACGCTTTGAAATCGTCGAAAACGTTGTCCAGCTTCGACTTCAGAGCAAAAAACTTCTCCTCATCCTGCTGAAATAGTAATTACAATCGTTGGATATTCAGTCCTTTAGCTTAAACTCAGAAAAGCTGCTCCATTCAAGCAATTCTCTATAGAAAAACAGCAAAGAAAAAAGAGGAGAAAGAAGACAAAAAAAGAAGTGAAAGGATTGCAAAAACTACTCAACTTTTCAAAGCGTTCTGCAAACAAAATCCTGTTGATGATGTTCCCAACAAGAAGATCGAATGTTTGATTCGGATCGAGGGACACTCTCCCATCTACCATCTTTCTTTCTAGATCCTTCACAACTGTAATGGGAAGCTGTCATAACACGGAGAAGCTGACAAGAATATCTTGGTTAGTTCTTGGTTCTTCGTTAGTTAACTAAGAAATCATCAAAAATCGGGTTCATGGTGAGGCAAGTGACAAATCGCAGACTTCTTGTATTAAAGGCATAAGGCACGATAACTTGGTGCTCGGTCCAAAATAGTTAGCAGGGGTGTTATATTAGTAGGAAAATGGCGCTAAGTGAACTGAAGCAGAACCTGTAGAAAAGCTCTTGTTTAGCACTACTGATTAGCTAACTGTTATGCCTGCGGGATTCGTTCAGTGCTACTGTTTCACTACTAGACTGAAAATTCCCTGGCAGGATGTGCAGTCCCACTACGGTAGGGCACGGGCGCATGTGTGTAGCTCTAATACTATCCATGCAGCAACCGGCGGGCAGCTTCATATCAACCTCTTCGTTCATATTGATCTCGGCAAGTCGAATGCGTTACAGCGACAGAATCGCTCCGTCGCATTTGTGGGCGGGAGGGGGGGGGGGGGGCGATGGACGTCCGGGTCGCATAGTTGCAGCTTAATAGGGCGATGTAAAGGTACTCTTCTTGGAAGAAGCGCACGCACGCAGCACCAGCTCAGGGGCGCCGAATTCTATCCTGGCTAGACGTATTAATCCTACACGTCTTGGGGATTTATTGTGAAATTTGCCTTTAATACGAAATCATCTCCTCTTCTGTGTTTCATAGCAGATTGTGAAAAAGTGGCCGCAGTTCTGTTTGGGGGAGGGGAGGCATTATGCACTTTCCCTACTTCTCGTAGTCCTGTGAGCCGTCAAGTAGAGATCTGTGAAATCTTAGGAAGTTATGAAGGTGATACTAGTTGAAGTTTGTGAGACCACCTGCCAACTCTTATAAAGGATACCTGCCAAGTCTTGTAAAACAAGAACACGGGAAAGTAGCGAAAGTGCAAATTGTTTCCCCCCCCCCGAAGGCGAACTGCGCCAAAAAAACTATTTAAAACGAAACGCACGTCCAATCCAATTCGTACATGATTCGTTCCTCTATTATATTCCTTCCGAGCCCAAAATTACGGAGCGTATGCAGAGAAAATCGCCGTTGCTCTGTCCAAAACGAAGTCCGTTGAGGCCATGAGTCCTCGACCGCCTGCAGAATCATGGTCATAGAAAATTATCTCACCGACATTGTACCACATTATAAATACGTTCCGCGCTCGTCGCTGGGCGGAACCAGGCCTGCCGTTACAATTTCTTCGTTCCTCTTCACGATGACGGTATAGAGGCGCGCGCTCATGAGGAATCTCCCTTCAGGGCCCGGTTCCACTCTAACAGCGAGCAGCAAGTGTAGGAGAAGCCTTTTGGTTACCTCGTGAGGTCTCGAACAAGAACGGTAGAGCTCTATTGACAGTTGCAGCTCCGTTCTTGATCATTGCTTCGGCTGCACTTGGATAGTCACAAATCTGTACGGTAGCAACGGGTCCGAACCAGAAGGTGTGCACGCTACCGTACTCCTGAATTAGCAGAATCATCCTAGCAAGAGTGACCACTAAAAAAGGCACGAACTTTGACGAAATCCCTCATGGACTCGGCAAAATCCTTCTTCTCGACCAGAATTTTATATGCTAACAGATGCATATTTCCAACGAAAGGGATCGGAATAGGACCTACAAAATCAAATTTTTAGACTGAATTAGAAATATTTACACAATAAAGAAATAAGAGGAACATATGTACCTGGTGGAAGCGACCTTCGAGTCAAGCCATATCCTCAGGAGCGCATAACCAACCACCAAAAGGAGAATCGTTAAGAACAACATTCTATAAAAAAACCAGTTACTAGACAAAAGTCAATGAAACGAGTTAATTACCGAAAAAAGGGACGCTGTCAGGCTGGAGGGGGCATTCTGCACTTTCGCTAGTTCCTTTCGTCAGTTCATGTAAGATCGCAAGTCTCACTTTGGTAGTACCGGTTAGCTCCTGTGGAGCTGCGAAATGGTGCAAGCAAGTGAGCAAATTC